CATGGGACTGCAGGTTAAGGCCAATCAAGCTCCATAGCTCTGTGACTTTAGCTGTGGAGCACAGATGGAGTGACTTCCTGCTCATGTCGTCCACTCTCATCCAGTCCACACATTCACCCTCAAGCACAGAGATGTTAATGCATTTTAGCCCCCAGAAACTTTAGGGGAGTTTCTGCCTGGCACAGAGAGGGGATGAGCAGCCCCTCCTTCATCCACAGGGACAAATTTCTGACAGAATGACTATAGAGCTCCCTGAGGTGGTCCTAACTTGTCTGTAGGGGGTTGTACTTTGTTTCCTCTCAGGTCTGATGAGGTTTCTGCTGTTGAGCAGGGACTCCCAGACTGAACCACTAAGGAGACTCCAAAAAGAGAGTTCAAGGGTGAATCTTCTCTTCTGCAGGTCAGAGGGAGTCTCCACTGTCACCAGCATCTGTCACTGTCTTCCCATTCAAGGAACTAAGACTGTTGCAGAACCAGTGCTGTTCTGAAAGGAAGATGCTCCACACCACAGAGTAGGAAGGCAATCATATACCACAACGGTGGGCTGAGGGGGATCATTCCCAAACCATCAGCGGTGAACTTCAGTCAGGTTAAGCTTGGATAGGATTTACAAGCAGGAAGCACAGAAAGGGAGAACATGAAGTTTAGTTCAAAAGCCTTAGTCATCAGTTACTAAGTGGGTCACTCTTGAAACAGGTTGGTGGGAACAGGATGCACCTTTAGTCTTGGGAAGCACAGACAGTGCAGCTCCACCCAGCCAGCCTGACCTTGTTTTGTTTTGTTTGTATTTAGGTTTTGTATAGAATGAGTACATCTTGTTGTCTCACTGCATTAGTCAGGCAGGGAGAGCTTAATGTTTTAAATTTCTGTTACCTGATATCCTCCCCCAGAAGCCCACCTGTAAAACAAGGGTAGTAAAAGGAGTTACTGTCTCAGGTTTCTTCAGTGATTGATAAGCTAGAAAAGGTGGAATTTGCAAGAAGATGCTCACACGGAGCTCCCAGGAAAGCGCCAGATTTCAGCTGTGATGCACTCATGACTGACCCCGATTATGCACCACATTTCATCCGTGAAGAAGGCCAGAAGCCTAGCCTCACAGATGTGAGTGAGCTGGCAGGTAAGTGTCACTCTCCTCCTGCCTTTGCTAATCCAAGCAGCTACAAGCTGGCAGATGAAGGGAGCTGTGGTTAGCAGCAAACTCGATCCTCTCAGACAGTGCCAGCCCAAGGTACAGACAAAGGGTGCTGTTCACCATGAGCACTTCTCAGGTTAGTTTACTCTGCAGCACCTGAGAGCATGTCACACCCCTGTCCCAGCCTTCCTCTCACCTGCAAAGTCATCCTCACACCTAGAAATCCTGCTTTCTCTTGACTCTCCCATACCGAGGGATTCATGGCCTCAGAAAACTTGACACATTGAGCCATCATGAGCACCAAAACTAAGGAAAAAAAAAAAAACACTCATTTGATTGTGTTTCTGGAGATTTTCTTTTTTTTTCCCTGATGTGTTTACAATGCCTCTCTCTTGTATAGACTCTTTGACATAGTAGCCCTGGAAATGGTGTCGTAAAAGTGAACTGAGCTGCTATAAACTGGCTCACAGTGAAGTGAGAGAGAGCAGTCTAAGACTGCACTTCTCAGGCAGCAGGGAACTCCTGGCTCTGAGATCCTCCTCTCTGATTCCAGGATCTGCAATGGGACTTAGGTGACACAAATGGAGTCAGAAGGTACCCCGTTCAGATCTCTGGGAACAGAGTTGTGAGTGCAGCATGCAAACAACCCGCTTGGTGAACAACTTTCCCCTCCTATCCAGACCACTTTAAAAGGCAAAGGAGGCAACCACTGCAACAGACCACAAAGCAGAGCTGTCTTAGTATCCACAGAAAAGACAAAAGGAAGCCATCATTTCCCAAAGAAGCCCTGCCCTTGCCTGGAGCCTTCTCCTCCTTGAGATGCAGATTCCAGGGATGCTCAGGGATGTCTCAGGAGCAAGAAGGTTCAAAGGAGCTTAGTCTACTGGAAGGCAGCTCCTTCATCCTGAGGCCCTAGCTCCTCCTTGAGGCACAGGCAATTCATGCTCCTTCTGCCAACACACATGGGGCCCAAGGACATGCCCTGCTGATCAGCAGCTCCATTAGGAGGATAGAGGGGACTGCAGACCACCAGTGGCTGGCATCACTGATGCAGATCTGTGTGTAGGTGTGTGAGTGTGTGTGTGTGTGTGTGTGTGTGTACACTTCTATGCATGATTTCCTGACTGTAGGCATCACCCCTGCCTGGGCCCATTCCTCTTTATAAGTGTTCCTTCTCTCAGTATGTCTTGCCTTTGTTTCTCCTGGCTTTCTCCAACCAAACATGGTTTATGGCTTGCCATACACTTCCTGGCTAGGGACTGCAGCCTCTCTGACACTTTCTCTCTCTACTCTTCCCAGGTTCACATGAATCCAGCCCCGTCACCCTGATTCTTTACAATCAGTGCTGGAGAGCTTGCCTCTGATGTGGGGCTTTTCAGGGCCTTTGGAAAGTTCATTCCCAGGGCTACAGGTATTTTGGAAATGGTCAGCTGTTTTCTGACACCACCATTGAGGGCCTTATTAATGATGGATCTCTTCTGCAGACTGTAGACTCACACACTTGTGCTGGGGGCTCAGAACCAGTGAGTCGCTCAGTGATTTATCCCAGTGGGGCCTTCCACAGGGGCTTACTCTTAGAAACAGGTGAAAATATTTATTACTGAATGCAAGAGGGGATAAACATCATAAAAAAAAATAAAGCATGGAGTGGTAGTGGCCTGACATGGCAAAAGTTCCTCCTGGACTCATGCTGTGCTGAGTATCATCATGACCTCGCACTCCATGCTAGCTATGTGACTTGCTCATTTATTCTCCGAAGATCTAGATAGTGAGTGTCACTATCATCCTACATGATCAGAGAGGAAGCCTAGGTAGAGTTAGGTGGAATGACTTCCCCATGGTCACACGGGGATCTGCAGAGGTCCGGTCCAAGCCCAGGTGGTGTCCAGTCCTTTGTTCCTGTCACTTCTCCCTCTGAAGCTTGTTTGGGTTGATCTTCAAGACATTCCTGAAGAGAACATCGTCCTGTTACTGCATGAGATGCAGGTGGTAAGTGATGTGTAAGCCATCAGGTTTGGGGACAGCAGTTCCCCATGACTTCCAGACCCACAACCTTTATAGTAAACACACCCTAATGTCCTGAGAAGACTCCAGGCCTCTCACAGACTCACAGGGAAGTATTGGCAGGCACCTGCCATGCAGCATGGGAGGACGTGAGCAGATACCTAGCTGGGACCAGAGTTAAACAGTGCTGACGCTATGGTGTAGTCACTCCCTTTCTAAATCTCTCTCAGCCCATCAGGACATGATGGAGAGGAAGCGTCTTTTGGGTGCTGGATACTTTAATTCCACTCCCCCTCTGGAAATGTCCCTCATGTAAGAAGCATGCAAGCCACAGCCACAGGGGACCCAAAGAATGCTCGAGGAATTTAGTCACCTGGGATTGTTCTTTGACTTTAGTTCTTATCTTTCATTTACAAAATAGTCATACTGTTTGTTCACTTATGGTAGCAACAGAAAGTTTCCTTTTCACACGTTGATTCAAATTAGAAAAACAGAACATGGTAAGCACATAACAGGTGATACTAATATATGTCCATACCCCAAATGTGATTCTATGAACATTTAAAAATACGGCATTATTTGGATTAGGGTGCGGGGTAGGACTTACTGGCTTGTGTGTCTTTGACTCTGGCTGCTCCTTAGATGAGAAAATGCCACCATTTTCTTGACCTCTGCATGTCCATGCCACACACTGCCTGATATGTCAGTTCTCGAGACCTAAGTTTAATTTATTAACTGATGTGCAATGCAAGGCCATGCTCAGAGGGATCTGCGGATGCCTGGGCCCTCCTCTCTAATTCTTTAGTGGGCCAGTGGTGCTCTTCCCTTTAGGGGATCCACAAAGGGAATCACTTATCATTGTGACCTCCAGCACAGGGCAGCCACTTTCTTTGGGAAGCTCAGTAATTAACTGTCTGTTCAAAAAGCCACATTTTCAAAATAATAAAAGAAAAAAAAATAATCCAGAACGACTCCTACTGGACTGTAATGGACCAGTGCAGTGAGAAAACCCAGGTGCTATGATGGTTCTGACTGGAGGTCTTTGCCTCTTGGGAATGTTATCAGGTAAGGGGCAAGGACCAGGGACCAGCAATTTGCTTTTCCTGTGTGGTCTGAGTCCAACCTTGTGGCTCTCATCCATTCACTCGATATTCACAGATCACATTTTTAAACATTGATCTGTCACAGCCCAGAGAAAATTCACTTTCTGGGCTTATTAGTATCAAGCCAAATTATGAAGACTCTCTTCCTCTTGCAGATGGATTGCATTAACCTACAGCCATCCTTAAAGACTTCTCTGGAAGGAGCAAGTGTCTCTTCAGGTCAGATCACAAATGTGTTTCCTGAGAAGGGTTATTAATATACCATACCATAGGCAGAGCTGCTGAATAATTCCAAGTACTATGAAATCGGGTCAGCCTGTAATCTGCATGTTCTCTAATCCTTTCTCTGGGCCCCTGAAGCTTTCTGCTTGTAATGTTCACTGACATGGCTGGCTGCACAAGAAATGGCTGCAGTTCTTTCTGACTGTGTGGATTTGCTTCTCATATCTTAGCCCTGCAGAAAATAATATGATTGTTGATGATGTCTCAAAATCCTGTGCACACAGGAAGGCTTGCGACTGAGTGCTTGGGGCTGTCTATGGCAATTCTGTGTTCTAACTAAAAACACAATGTCAGGTCCTCCCAAGCAGCTGATGGGCCTTTGACATGTCTTGTAGAACAGGTTGGGTCTCTGTAGCCCAGCACAAGGTATATTTTGCAAATAAGAGCCACAAACTCCAGAATCACGGATGCTAGTAAAATGTGTGATCGCTCTCTGTCGATGTCGCTCCTGGCCGGCAGGAAGGACACACGACAAAGTCTGGCAGTGGACAACCTTTTCTTTTATTTTCCTTCTCCGTACAGCCTGCCCTGGGATCGCTCCCAGCCGAAGCCTCCTTTGGTCCGCTCCCCGCGGCTCCTTCTGGGCTTCTACTTCCGGGCTTCTTCTTCCCCCCCAGGGGTGGCACCAGTATATATACGGATACAGTGTCCAATCATGTTAAAGTAAGCAAGGCAAGCTGATTGGCTAACATCATCAGTTGCCAGGCAGACTATATTGTTGAGCGGGTTGCTTACGCGGTAAGCAGGAAACTAACGTGCTCGATGGGAGGGGTAATCTACCTCAGGCTTTACTCTTTACTACAGGCCTCACGTCCGCCAAGTGAGGCGACCGGGCTCGGGGCTGCGGCTCCCAACATCTCCCCCTTTTTTATTTTTTTTATAAATGTGCGCATCGTAGCCCTTCCTGGACTGGGTGCAGAGGCTTATGCCCTATGCGTAGGCCCACCGTAGGTCCTTGGCTTAGACCCTGGTCGGCCGTCCCATGGTCTGCCAAGGCCCTGAGGCCCTCGTCATTTTTCTAGGGCCAGGCACAAACTGGACAGAACCTGGATGCACACAAGCTTGCACTCATTTCCTCTCCGTAAAGAAATCCCCTCGGAGAGAAATTTAGACCTGGGCAGCATCTAACAGTCCAGCGGCTTACGTGCAGGATGGGGTAGGGCCTGGCTTAGGTTGAGTCGCACCGGGGGAGTACGCTCTTACCCGTCATTGACTCTCCTACCCAGCTATGTCATAATTTTTTAGAGGAGGAGTGTGGGAAGCTCACCACCCCTAGACTCGGTCGTAGGCTAGGCGAGCGAGCCATGCATATGCCTGAGGATCTTCTTGTCCATTTTGGGCTACCACTATTTCTATTCATCTTGTTGGTTGGTCTGTGATGGATCTCCGGTAGGGCAGGTCTGATCTTCAGTCGAGGGCTTTGTCGCCTGTGTCAGTCTCTCCGGTACCCACAGTGGTTCTCGTCCCGATTCCTGTGGGAAAACACAAACCGCGCCTCGGTTCCAGCTGACCACTGGATCCGGGCCCATCCATTGTCCTGTCATAGATAACCGCGCCTTTGGAGGCAGGCCTTGGCTTACTCCCCCTTTTTGTTTTTTATTTTTTATTTTTTATTTTTATCTTTTTTTTTTTTTTTTTTTTTTTTAATTGGTACCAGGGATCGAACTCACGACTGCCTGCTTGCAAGGCAGGCGCTTATGCCACTGAGTTAAATCCCCAGCCCCTTTTTCCTCGACCGGCGTTTTTCTCAGCCTGCTCGGGCAGAGAACTCTGTGTACCAGGCTCGCCAATCTAGGTAACTACCCGAGGGCAGACACGCCTTTGCCAGCTGAATCCAGTCCGCGGGGGTGAGGGGCCCAGAAGACAGGTTCTCCAGCATGGCAATGGTGTAAGGCGCAGTTGGCCCAAAGGTTGTAACTGCATTTTTAAGTTCTCTAATCTGCTTTATCTCAAAAGGCTCCCATGCATTACGTCCCTGGCCCATAGCTACTTGTACAGGAAATATCCCATAGGGGCCACTATCTATCCCAGGTGGTGGATGTACCTCATGAGACAAACGTCCCCCCTGCCAAAGCCGCCTGTAAAAATACCGACCCGCCGGCGGCGGAGCATAAGACGGCGGCCGTGATTGGGCGGAAAATGGGGGCCCGTGCATCACTTCCTGTTCTGGCGAAAGGGGAGGGAGCTCCCGGGCGGCCGCCTCGCGGCGAGGGATCGCCTCCAGGAACACCCCCCAAGGTGGGGCGGAAGGCTTCGCCTCCCTCTTGCGCCGGGGAGCGCTCAGGAGCTCCCTACTCCTCCGCAGACCAAGTTGAGCGGAGCGCAATTCGCGGCGCAACGCTGGGAAAGAACCCTGCGACTCCTTATTGAGCGACTTAGGCTCCTGACAGCTGGTCTCTTTGGCCTCCTTGCCATTCAACTTTCCCTCGTCCTCGGAGTCAGATGACTCCGAGGCTAGAGCCCTGTCCTTCTCCTTAGCATCTTTGTTCCCCTTGACGGGCCCCTCTCGGGAGCTCCCCGACTGGGCCTGCTCAAATACCCTGCGTACTTTTGTAAGCTCTTGAGAGCTTTCTCCACAACCACCCTTGCTCTTAGTGTTGCTACCTAGCATGTTTCCCATCTTTTAATATGTTACTCACCACGTGAGGCCCAAGGAATCCGCCACTTACGCGTGAGCCTGAGGGGAGTCTAAAAGCCCTGTAGGTGTGCACCACCCAGAGCCCAGGCTTATCCCCAACTCACCTGTCTCGCAGCTCTGTACTGGAGCGTTGTCCGCTGTCACGTCTCGGGGGTGATCAGTCCCCGTGCGGGCCACCAAATGTCGATGTCGCTCCTGGCCGGCAGGAAGGACACACGACAAAGTCTGGCAGTGGACAACCTTTTCTTTTATTTTCCTTCTCCGTACAGCCTGCCCTGGGATCGCTCCCAGCCGAAGCCTCCTTTGGTCCGCTCCCCGCGGCTCCTTCTGGGCTTCCACTTCCGGGCTTCTTCTTCCCCCCCAGGGGTGGCACCAGTATATATATGGATACAGTGTCCAATCATGTTAAAGTAAGCAAGGCAAGCTGATTGGCTAACATCATCAGTTGCCAGGCAGACTATATTGTTGAGCGGGTTGCTTACGCGGTAAGCAGGAAACTAACGTGCTCGATGGGAGGGGTAATCTACCTCAGGCTTTACTCTTTACTACAGGCCTCACGTCCGCCAAGTGAGGCGACCGGGCTCGGGGCTGCGGCTCCCAACAGCTCTCCACTAGAATCTCTTCCACTGCTGCACAGTGTCCAGCAGTGGCTCGGCCCTGGGTTGGGTCAGCAGGATAGAAAAGTCTCTTCCCAGAGGCTCAACTCCACTTGCAGGAAACTCAGGGAACCCAGTGTTTGACTACTACTCAAGAGGGCAGGTGCCAAGTTCTCTGTGTCTTTCCCATCCATAGAAATGAAGTCTCTAACCTTTGCAGGAAGAGGTGTATGGAGAACAAACACAAACAAAATCCATCACACCAAAAGCTCCTGAGGTTCTGAAACCTTTTCTGGGACATATGCAACTCCCAAGACATTGATAACAGGACTTGGACAGAAAGCAATGTCTATGCATTTACTGGAGACATAGACTGACAAGTGGAAGCCTGGGAACACATTCTCAAGTTACTGAAAGCAGGCAAGAAAAACCACAAACTCATACTAAGTGTGGCCATTTTTCTGTTACATTTTCCCTAACATATCTTCTCAAATGTCCATTACAAGAAACCTTACATGCATCCTATTTTATTTGCATACTAATTTAAAGGGTGCATTAAAGTTGACACTATGTCCCTAAAAATAGTACTTTATCACAACCACAATGAGAATTCTTAAAAATAGGCCTGGACATTTGGGCTTTGGGAGATTAATGCCTGGACAGGTGAAGGGCTCCAGGATGCACTGCAGCACGTCTGTGACTGTGTTTTTTCTCTCTAACTGTAATTCTGCCACAGAGAAAGGAGAATGTAACATCTTCATGGTGATGCTTCGATTTGACTCTGGGAAGCCCTAAAATGCAATTTCTAGCAGGTTAAATAAGACAACGCAATCCTCCTTCTGAAAATCACATCATTTTTGTGCCCACAATGAACTCTCCAACAGGATGACGCTGAGGGCTTTGGTGTGGACAAGGAGGCAATAAGGATGAGCTCACCTCAGGAGACACAAAGTAGCATCCGCTCAGTGCAGGACTACAGAACTATAAGGTGCCCACAGGTTCATTTACAGGTGAAGACACTGAGGCAGGGGTGGTGCCTGACTCAGCAACACATGACACTTAGGGGTGGGGGCAGCACTGGCCTTGACTGCTGGCCCTGTACCTCACCCTAGGGAATGGGTCACCAGGCATCTGCACCATGCCCTTCGTTTACCCCAACTATTACCTGCAGATCAGGTTTCATGGTCCCAGGCTTCACTGCCAACCTCTTCTTCCCCCTCACCCTCCCTTTCTAAACCTTCTCTAGTTCTTGCTCCTAAATCCTACAAGGCTGTGTCAGTTTCTCTCTGCGTCCACTCATCTCATCTCCACCTCAAGTCTAACTCTTTCCCATAAGTGCTACTAAAATGATCAGAAAATTTGTGGTAAAATGTTTATAAACAGCAATAAACTAAAATCAAAATGGATCAAAAATCTAAATATTAAAACAGAAACACTAATTCAGCTGGAGGGTAAAATAAATAGAATCCCTGAAATCACAGGTGCAGGCAAAGTCTTTATCAATAAAACCCTGGTCACACAGGAAGTATCACAAAGGATCAACAACTGGGATCTCATCTTATTACAAAGGTTTTGCACAGCAAAGGAAATCATCAACAAGTGAAGAGACAGTCCACAGCATGGGAAAAAATTGCAAAAGTTCCTCAGACAAAAGACTAGTATCTAGAATATACCAAGAACTCAAAAAAGAATCAGAATCTCCCCAAACTGAAAGGCCCACCCTAAATATGGACCCTTGCAATGAAGAGAGACAGATGAAGAAGTATAAATTGTAAAAAAAAAATGATAAAATGTTCAGCATCACTGGTGGTTCAAGAAATGAAAATGAAAAAGCACTGAGATTCCGTCTCACTCGAGCAAGAAGAGTTATTATGAAGAAATCAACCAAAACCAAATGCTGGTGAAGATGCTGTTGAAACAAACCCTTCTTTACTGTTAGAGGCAATGTAGATTGTGCAACCAGTCCATGGAAATCGCGTGGAGATTCCTCAAAAGACTTAAATGAGAGGTGCCATTCAGCCCACGTATTTCCCTTCTTCGAATCTTCCCAAATGAATTAAAAGTACCGCATCAAGACCATACAGGCACACCCATGATTGTGGCAGCACAGTTTGTGATTGGCAAGTCTCTGAAACTGCTCAAATGCCCATCAATCAATGACTGGACATAGGATATGTATTTTTATGCAATATGGTAATATTCTGCCAAAAAAAGACACACTAGAGATATTTCTAGCTAAATGGCTGCACCTTGAGACCAAACACTTAAGTGAAATAAATCGGACACGTATGCCCAAGTGTTGCATGGTTTCTCTGGTATGAGAAACTGAAAGTGTAATTAAGATCAAAATATGTAATAGATATTGGAAAATGGGAAGAAAATGTTCAAATGAAAATGGGAACAAGGGAAGAGGAAGGAAGGTAGAGACAAGAAAAAATTAATAGAGGGAAAAATGAAAACAAAGCTTTTGTAAATAAGAGGGGTTGATGGGAGGGGAGGGAAATGGAAAAAAAAAAAAAAAAGAAGAAGCAAGGTACATCATGTCCAGATGCAAAATCCCTATGGTAGATATTATCATTATGTATATCTAAAATGGACCAGTAAAATAAAAAGAGAAAAATATTTACAAACAGTGGTAGCTAATTCCTCTTACAAGTAAAACCAAATAATTAAAATCATCAAAGATGTGCTCCCACTGGAAGGTCCAATGTGAGTCTCTCTCTCTCTCTCTCTCTCTCTCTCTCTCTGGAAAGGCATTAGGTATTTGCAAAATTGGAAGCATAAGCATTTTGAGTTGTGTGGAAATCCATTCAGTGTCACTGATAATCAAAGACCTGCATGTCAGAAACTATTGAAATGCTATTTATCAAACTGTTGATATAAATTTCTTTATCAGCAGTGGAAATTTGGGGAACTGAAAGGAAACCCATCAGCAAAAATAATTATGGAGGAAGATTTAGCAGTACCTTTCAAAAGCCTGATAAACAAGCTCATCCTTTCAATGTAATACCACATGTAGAAGCCAATCCTAAAGTTTCCTTAGGGAAGAAGAAAGTCTGGGCCTGATTGAGAAGGGCCATGGGGTGAAACCTGAGCCAGGGGTAAGCAGGGTTCCTGGAGCTGGGATAATTTACCAAGTGTAGCCCTTGAAATTCCTCCATTTTCACAAAGAATCCAATACACACAACAGAAATGGATTTGAACACAGGATTTTTATCATAACAACATTTTCAGTTGTAAAAGTTAACCAAGCCCATCTAGCTGATTGGGAATCCATAACAGCAATTAAATGAATTACAAATAGAAGGGATACCATAAAAATTTAAGATACAAAATACACATCTGTAGTGCTCAATGTGAGAGGGATCTAGGTGATGTTTACTTAAAATATGAGCCATTTTAATTTTTTTTATGAGTGAAAACATTTGAACTTCAGCGTTCTTTCCTCTGATGTTCCAACTTTCAAAGTAACAGGATTGTTACCTCCCAAACATCCCAGCAAGACTTCTTTTATGGTCTTGATGCCACTGCATGACCTTTGTTTTTGCTCTAATTTCACTAGTAATTCTGATTAATGATCACTAATTTCATAAGTGATTCTGAAAGTGATTTGGCTTAGTTGTTACAAATTTTGTTGCTAGATCAAATCCACTTTCTAAATCATGGGAACAACACAAATGCCTGACAAGGAATGGATAAAAAAGATACAGCTTATTTTTTTTTAATATAATGGCATACTATTCATCCATAAAGAAAGATAGACTGTACACTTTTATAGGTAAATGGATGCAACTGGAGGCCACACTCAGAAGTGAAATAAATCAAAACTATGTGTGTAAACTTCATATTGTCTCACTCATGTGAGAAACTGAACGTTCAGATAAGATCTAAAATACACAATAGACATTCTGAACTGGGCAGAAAAGACAAATTGAGATGGAGAATGAGAAAAAGAAAAAAATGTAGGTGTACCCAAGATAGCTAAGATAGTAATACAGCTGGTTTCTCTGAGTTCACTGAAAAGAAACTTTGCTCTAGTAACTTTTGGGCAATGTTTCACACCTATAATATGTATTCTGAATAACTACTGGGTAGATGACAATATGCAATGTATTAATTACATAACTGTCCTCCTAACCTGTTTTGAAAACTTGTATCAGTGTTATTTTTATCCTTTTCTCCTTAAAATTAAAAATAAGAAAGAAGGTGCACCCATACATCCACTGCACACTCGCTGATCCTGGCATGAGGTGGATGCTCAGTCGTATTTGCTGATGCCAAAGGGAAATGGACCTGCAGCTTGTTCACCGTCCCAAACTGGAATATCCTCCCTGTTGTTCTCAAGCGTGTCACCTGGGGCGTGTGGACACCAAGACTGAGAACCTGGTGTCCTGAGTACAACACATTCTCCGACGCACTTCCTGACAGCTGTCCGGGGCAGTGGTCCTCAGTAGCCATCCCTGCTGACAGTGCTCCACCTGCTGGATGTACGGCCACAGAGCTGCAAACACAGGGCCCAACAGCCCATGTGTGCCCCACTATGAGACTTCAGCAGTTACCCTTCTCTGCTGTCCTGTCCTGTGGTCTGCACAGCACAGAGCACCCCCTCCTTCAGCAGTAATTAAGAGGCCGGGAAAAAGCTCTGGGAGGCACAGACTGCATGGTGATGGTCTCACGATCTCCACCTCATCCCACTGAGTGTATTATATTTGCTTAGCTGTCTGTATTTCAATCATTCCTCAGCAGAATGATTTGTAAGAAAAAAAACACAGTTCCTCAGTGATCCAGCATTTCATAAGAAGACATTCAGAGTCTCCCCAAGAGACTTCAGTTCCCCATCCCACAGAGAAAAAATCAGTGGTGAAAAGTGCTGTGCTCAGGGGCACCAGGGAAGCCAGGAAGCAAGTTCCCTGATTTGGGGTGTGCAGACATTTATAGGACACAGCCCAGTCTGGTGCTTTCAATATCACAGGCTGCTGGATGGGAGTTCAGTGTGCCCATGACCTTTCACCTGCCACCTGGACCTCTCTACCATTCCCATCCTCTCTGAGAGGTGTTGTTTAAAAAGGGAGAAGACAAAAGAGCCAGCGCCTAAATCACACCTTTCAGAAAGGTCACGCGAACAGAGTGTGACACTGCCTCTGAGGGTCTAAACTCTCTTTACTGCACCCAGAGTCATGAGAGAGAAAATGACACAAGAGTTTCAGGAGGGACAGAGACAAACATTTGCTGCCTTCCTCCTGACATTGAAACCCTGAGGTGCAGACACACTGCGGAGACTACAGCCATCGTTTCTGGTTCCAGGGTGAGATTTCGGGTGCCCAACTTGGTGCCACGCATCCCTTGCAGAACCTGCTCAGAGCCAGCACTGGAGAGGGGAGCAGGGACTGGACTGTGAGCTCGCCACAAGGTGCTGACCCAGGCAGCAATGGAAAGGTTCATGTTTGCGAGAACCCTGGAGTTAAATGGACCACAGAAGTGCTGCACCTCCCCTGCCTCAGCCTCCCAGAGATTCATCCTCCAATTCTCCTGGTTTCCTCTTGAACCTGCAGGAGGCTTGTGTTGCTCAGTCTCTACATCACCCTCCCTTTCTGCTACTTTCTCCTAAGTTCCCGATTCTCAACACTTTAATCACTTTTTGGGACCAGAACCAGCTTCAGAAATCACAAGTCTTTGCATGCAAAGAAATGGAGAGCCTTGCTATAAGATCTCGTGTTCCGTATCTTTTACCATTCAAAGGGCCGTTAGAATTCAATCTCCAGACTCTTTCAGTCTGAACAACGTGTGAAGTTAATTCACCCATGGCAAACCTTAACAGTTCCTTAATGCAAAAAGCCCCCATGTGGAATAACCTGGATTTTAGTGAGAAAGAAATCATCATGATTTCATCTAATATTTTTGAAGCAATTAAGTGTATACCCATGCCATTTATATGTGATTTGTTTTCCAGGACCACAATATAGGTATAATGCATGAGCCATCATTAGTATGGAAAATCAGAAGCCAAAGAGAAGCAAAAAGATAAAAAGAATTGTAAAGAACAACAAAAGAAATTCCTGGAGATTCCAGGCAGCTGCATGCACAAGTTATGCGGGTCTGAGATAAACACTCAGCCTTCTGTGCCCACGGACAGTGCCGAACAACCTCAGAGTGGGAGCATTTGGAAATTACTTACATTTTGGATCTCTCCTATTAGAGAAATCACAGGATATTTAGGTATTTAGCATCGTCAGGAGGAAGAGGCTATAAGGGGTAATAAAATGATCAAAATGAGAAATGGGTCCACCCCAATCCCATGATGGATATGACTACTGTGCGCCACAAATATGCTAATAAATCTTGTAACTAACAGAAACATTTGGGGGAAGTTTGAGTTTTGCACTGAACATGCTTAGGTTTTCGAGTATTATTCTTAAGTGATCCAGTGTTACAGTTATGTACGTAGCTCTTGCGGTGTATTAAGTAAGCCACTGGGTTGATTTAAAGTGTTTGTGTGAAGATGTGAGTCTGTAACATGCGGATCCAGAGCCTCTTCCTATGAGACCCTTGGACATCTGAACATCACAGAATTCTCATCCTTGCATGGCTCCTGGAACCAATCTCTCATGGATACCGAGGGACAGTTTCAATGAGGAACACACAGCAGTCGACGGGGAACGGGAATGAGGAGACACACTCCACACCAGCAGCCTCAGGTAGAGGACCCTGGTGCTGCCAGGTAGGAAGGCTGATGCAGCTTTTGCACATTGAACAGTTTTCAAGAATAAAAAGCAGATTTGGAGTCTCCTAAAGGCTCAGTCTTCATAAATAATTTGACTTTTTTTTAATCTATGTCAACAGCTTGTTTTCTTTTTAAATTTTGATTTTATTAATACACGTCTAAAGCTTACAACCACCTTGGGGAGTGGTCATGTGCATGCCATGGCTTGTTTTTTTTATCGTATAGTAATATTTTTAGATTTTAAAAGCAAAACAAAAAAGGATAGAATGATAAAGAAGTTCAAAAACTAGTAGGAAATTAACACTAGTTAATACATTGCATGTTGTTATATTAGAAGTACTTGTTCAGGTTACAAGATTTAAGCATAGAAATGATCAAAACGTCAAGCAATGAAAGCACAGGCTGTTATTTCTGATGAACTTATATCGATGAGTAGTGTAGTCATCTATATCACACACATACACACACTTACACACACATACACACACATGCACATATACATGCCTATGGACATACAATCTTTTCCCTTCTTCCTTTCCCCCTTCCCCTATCTTCCTCTTCCTGCTCCTTCCTCCTAATAATTTGATGTTTTTAAAGTGGAAAGAGCAAAGCACCACTCAAAGTTTGTGTTCCTCAAGGGCACCCTGATCAAATGATTCTAACCCCACTGGAAACGCACTGCAGGGCACCTACTTTGCTACTGACCTGCCTTCTTGGCTGACTATTTTAAATGTACAGATCTTTGTGGCACAGATTGTGGCCTCATTCACATCACATTCTAATCCTTATTAAAGCAATTTCTAGAACTACATGCCTTTCCAGAAATAGGAAATAGACTTCACTCTAGTTGCCATTTCTAAGCCACTAGTAGAAGCAGCCAGAGGGAGTTCTCTCTTGATGAGGAAGGAATGGGCAGCAGTGGGAGTGAGTGAGGTGGATTAGTAAGGTCTGCCAGGG